AATGGGACATGTTTGTTAGCTATGGGCTGACATTAACTGGAACATCAATTGTCAGGAAGCTAGGTTTGGGAATCCCTCCTACCCCGTACCAAACACAGTTGTATGCATCTTAGTAGTGGAAGAGAGGGATCAATTGAGTCTGACTTAGAGATCTGGGCAATTTTCACAAAAGAGATGACATGAGGTTTGCTTTGCAAGTTTTTTTCCATCCTTCAATGTCCCTTCTTGTGCAATAAGCGTGCGTTTGCAAGCTTAGTGCTTTTTATCTGCTGCAGGCCAGAAAACAACACAATCTAGCTTGTTAGAAAAACAGATAAAGTGATGTAAACAGGCTGTGTTTGAGGGTGTTGCAGTGTTTTCTGCTGAGTTAAAATATAAGAGCTTTCACTCTGCTGTTATGAAAGTTTGGGACATCAGAAGTGAGACTCTGAGCTTACAGATGATATGCAGCCAGTCCTTTAAGAGGTTAATATTTTTTTTATAGACCAGCAACACTAATAGGCGAAAATATCCTGGCTTCTGAGAAAGAATGGAAGATTTCTTAATAAAGTCAAATTGGTCATATAATACTATGAGTTTTAGGGCAACTAGCTTTTTGAAAACATCTTTAATAGCATGGGCCCCTTTAAAAAAATGTTTTTAATGATTTTTTTAGAGAGAGAGAGGAAAGCAGAGGGAGGGAGGGAGAGAGAGAGAAAGAGACACATCCATGAGAGAAAAACATCGATCAGCTGCTTCCTGCACACCCCCTATACTGGGGATTGAATCCACAAACCGGGAATGTGCCTTGATCAGAAATCAAACTGTAACCTGCTGGTTCATGGGTCAATGCTCAACCACTGAGCCACACCGGCCAGGCAGCATGGGCCCTTTTGAGAACTGGAGTGTAAACTGATGAAACCTATTTGGGCAAAAATCTGACATTCCCTCATATGGTTAAATAAGTTTACCATATAGTCCATTGCTATATTCCTCACCTAGGTGTTACTCAAGACAACTTAAAACATAATGTCCACATAAAAGCTTGTACAATGAATGCTCATGGCAGTATTATTTGTAACAATTTAAAAATGGAGACAATCCAATTGTTCACCAACTAAAGAATAGATAAACAGCCGGGACTGGTTTGGCTCAATGGATAGAGCGTCGGCTTGGGGACTGAAAGGTCCCGAGTTCGATTCCAGACAAGGGCATGTACCTTGGTTGCGGGCATATCCCCAGTGGGGGGTGTGCAAGAGGCAGCTGATCGATGACTCTCTCTCATCGATGTTTCCAACTCTCCATCTCTCTCCCTTCCTCTCTGTATAAAATCAATAAAATATATTAAAAAAAAAAAGAAAAAAGAATAGATAAACAAAATTGATATATCCATACAATGGAATTTCATTCAGTAATAAAAAGATGAAGTATTGATACATGCTAAAACATGGATGAAACCCAAAAATGTTATCCTGAATGAAAGAAGCTAGACACAAAAGGTCATATATTATGATTCCATTTATATAAAATATCCAGAATAGGCAAACCCATAGACAGAAATTAGGTTACTAGTTGGCACGGGCTGGGAGTAGGAGTTGGGGAATCACTACCAATGGGTAAGAGGGTTGCTTTCTGGGGTGAAGGAAAGGTTTAAACTTGGATTGTGGCAATGGTTACATAACTCTGTGAATATATTAAAACCTACTGAATTATACACTTGAAATGGCTAAATTGTATGGTGTGAGAATTATATTTTTAAAAAGATGTTTAAAACGTTTTATTCAAAAAGGAGATTGTTGGGGTGTCCGTGGACATTACCTGAGAGCCTTGCCGTGCACTTGCACCCCGTAATCACAAGGTGCCCCCCTCCTCAAGGTGGTATCAGCAGAGACTGGATAGAGACTGACCGTCACTATAGCCCATCAGCAACGTGGTCCCCTTCCCACGGCAGCATCCCCGTTATCAGGTAGGCAACAAGGAGTAAGGAAAGTTATGAGTAACCCTCCCCTTTCCCAGAGAGATAACAGAGCGAGGAGAACAGCCTAGCAATTCTGCAGCTGGTGATAGGTCAGCACCCTCTTTCCCACCGGCCTGGTTTTATGGAGGCCTGAGGAAACAGGTTTAAATAAGACTTAGTGTCGGATAACATAATTCCCCAAAAGCCCAGGATACAATGGAAAGTCACTCATCAAACGAAGAAGTGGGAATGAGAAGAGACAATAGACACTCACAGCAAGATGCCACAGAGGTTAGAATTATCTGACAGGAATTGTTAAAGCACCCATCATAAAAATGCTTCAGTGAGAAATTCCAAACACTTTGGTGAAATGGATAAATTGAAAGTTTCAGCAAAGATATAGAGGATATAAAGAATAACCAAATGAAAAGTTTGAAATGGAATAATTTAATAACTCAAACTCAGGGGAGAGGCTCAATGGAAGAATGGAATGAACAGAATAAAGAATAAGGGAAGAAGAAAAATTACCCAATCTGATCAACAGAAAGAATATACACTGAAAAAAAAATCCTGGAGTCTGAGGGACCTGTGGGAAAATAACAAAAGAGATAACATTCACAAAATTAAAGTCCCAAGAAAAGGAGGACAAAGGTGGAACTGAAAAGAAGAATTGAAGAGATAATGGCTGAAAATTTCCCAAACTTTACATAAGATATAAGCCTAGACTTAAGAAGCTGATCAAACACCAAACAGGATAAACCAAAACAAATCTACGCCCAAGAATATAACATTCTAACTTTGGAAAACAAAAGACAAAGACAAATCTTGAAAGCATCTAGAAATGATGTGACTGATTACCTGCAAGGGAGCAACTATTTGAATGACAGCAGACTTCTCAAATGCTGAAAGAAAAGTGTTGTCGAAGCAGAATTCTATATCAGTAAAAATATCCTTCAGAAATGTTGGTGAAACCTAGACATTCTCAAATAAAATAAAATTAAAAGAATTTATCACTAGAAGACTTACCCTAAAAGAGTGGCTAAAAAAAATACTTCAAACAGCCGAAACCGGTTTGGCTCAGCTTGGGGACTGAAAGGTCCCGGGTTCGATTCCGGTCAGGGGCATGTATCTTGGTTGCGGGCACATTCCCAGTAGGGGGTGTGCAAGAGGCAGCTGATAGATGACTCTTTCTCATCGATGTTTCTAACTCTCTATCTTTCTCCCTTCCTCCCTGTACAAAATCAATAAAATATATTAAAAAAAAATAAATTCTTCAAACAGAAGGTAAATGAACAAAAGAAAAGCTGGAACAGGGATAAAGCAATACACTATCCTCTTCTTGAGTTTTACAAATAATTTTTGATGGTGGAAACAAATATTCCAACGCTATCTAATGTAATTCTCAGTGTATGTATAGAAAATATTTAAAACAAGTATATAATAAAGGCAGGGGTGTAAATGAACCTAAATGGTGGTAAAGTTTCTATATTGTTCTATAATATCTGGTTCTCGGTTTTATAAGCATGTGAAATATAAATGAAAAAAACTTGCTCCCAGGTGCTCAATTCCCCTTAATTCCTTGCAATAAAAGATTTATTCTCACTGATCTGGGGGCAACAGGTCTTAAGAACCAAAGCTCTTCAGTCACTCTATGTTCTAGGACTGGCTGTCCTAAGAAGGAAAGTAGCAAGGTTTCTTGGTCACCATTCTGTAGTCAAGGTCTCCTTTGAATAGATGGGAAATTTATTCTGCTCCTGTTTATGTGCATTTTTTCATGAGTGTTTCTGTATGACACAGACACATAGAAACACACTCTGATATTCTACGGAGCCTAGAAAGATCCCTGCAAAAGATGAAAGTGGAAAGTGAGGAGAAAGGGAGAGAGAGATGTTCACTCTGGCTCACACCCTAAAGCAATGTTCCCCATTCCCCCATAGTGGGGCAGATAGAACCTGTGACTTGCCTCTAACCAATAGATTGTAACAAATGGGATGGGATGTCACTCACATGATCATGTGATGTTACGTAAGACTCAGTCTTAGCAGACTGGAGCAAAACACTTTCCCCTTGCTGGCTTTGTTTTGAGAGGATCTATGGAGAAGGCCACATGGCAAGTAACTATAATATAAGCAGCATCCAGGAGTGGAGGGTAGTCCTCTGCCAAAGGCCAGTAAAATAAACCAGAGACCTGAGTCCTCCAACTACAAGGATATTAATTCTCCAAACCATCTGAGAGAGCTTGGAAGCAAATTCTTCCCCAGTCAAACCTCCAGATGAGAACACAGCCCAGCCAGCACACAGACTACAGCCTTAAAGACCTTGAAGAGAGAACCTAGGCACACTGTGCCGACTCCTGACCCACAGACACTGAGATAATACATGTGTACTGCTTTAAGCCACTAGTTTTGCGATAATGTGTAATGTAGCAATAGTTAACTAACACACCCTCTTTTCCTTTGCAGCCAAAGAAGTCTACTCGTAGAAGAACTGAAGATATGCAGGTTCATTTCTCATTGAATTATCACAGAGAAGTCTACAGGATCCACTAAACCATTACCAAGTACAGCTCTGGCACTTGCCTGCCCTTGGGGCAGAACATGGCCAAACCCACCAGGGCTGTCAGTGCTCTGAAAGCTGTGAGGCCCCATCACAGCCCAGATCTCCAACTGGGTCGGTCCTTCCCTTCTCCACCCACAACTTCCTCTTCTGTCCCTTCCTGCACTGCCTCCCATCTACCAACTCAGCTTTTTACAGTCATAGGCCAGAGGTTTGGGTCCTTCCCAATTCCCCAAGTCTAGTTCCCTTTAACTTCTTGGCTAAGGGGAGGCTTTATATTCTAAATTACCAAAATGAAATCACAGTGTGATTGCTGTTTTCCCAAAGGGTAAAAGGAAATGGAATCTTTCTTGAAAAACAAACAAAAACTCATCAGAAAGAAGCCTATCCATCGGCACATCATTTACTCCTTTCATCTCCAAGACCTGGTTATTGTAGGTATGTAGACAGAAGGCAGCTGTCTTTTTTTTTTTTTTTTTAAGTCTAAAAATTGAATATCTGATCTCACCTCCGCAGATCTCTCGTGTGCATTTGGAACTTTTGACTTGTTCCTAGACCTTGAGCCAATAAAAGAAGTAGAAGCACCTGCAAAAAATAATTAGAAAAAATACTGAGACTTATTACCTGCTAATATAACTAGATGCCCTATAACTAAATGTCATCCAAGAGAATATGAAAGATATGATGGAGAAGAACATATTAATCTCATGTATAACAATGAAGAAAGTTAAATTACAACCAAAAAAGCCCCATAATGGAGTTTAATGACGTTTATAGGTGACCTCTCAGTGTGCAAAAGCTTCAACAACGCTAACATGGAGGAGATTTGATTTGGTATAATCATACATTATAACATTTTGGAATAACATGATTCTGCAAAAGCAACTGGACAAACTAAAAATGTAGAGCCAGCACTGTATATATCCTTTAGCACTTCCCCAAAAGCTACTGTTAATAAGGTTGTTGCCTTTTACAAATGATGACTCATCCAGTCAAACATTCAGTACCTGAGGTATAACTAGAATTGTAGGGCCTATAATTTATGCTCTTGCACTTTTCTTTCTTTCTAGAAAAGCACTGTTAAATCGTTATTAGATATGACATTTCTTTAGGGTAGTGAAAAGTAAGAAACAAATGCTATATGCCATACAAAACCAATTTTCCCAACTAATTTATCAATTTCTAATGGAATTTAAATGAATAAACAAATGGTACCCCAAGCTTTCTTTCCTAAAAACATTATATTTTTTTTTTAACCACTGAAGGAAGGTATGAAACAGGGAGTCAGTCCTCAACTCAAAGAAGAAATCCTTAAGGAGAATAGATACAGGGGTTACCAGCTGTTGGCTGGTTCTACTCACTGCCATCTGAACTGTCACTGGTGCTGAAAGTTCTACAACGACGACGCTTCATTTTGTAGCATCCTGGGAAAGAGAACAACACTGAATGAAACGGTTAAAACACACACACACACACACACACACACACACACACACACACACACCCCAAAAGATAATCAACACTTTCCTACAGATCCCAAGCAGCAGCAGCAGCAGCAGCAGGCCAATCATACAAATCAAATGATTTTTGTCAAGAACATTCTCCAATGATCTGGAGTGAAGAGAGAAGAATACACCAAACTCTCTAACACAGTGTGTGTCAAAGACGGGGTGAGGACAGACATTAGCCTTAGGAGGAAGTTCATGCAGCAAAGGATGAATAGCACAGGAGTGGCCACATGGCCATGTCCACCCAAACAGAGGGGGCTGGCATGGGGCCCTCACAAGCCAGGAGAGCAGAAAGGGAAAAGGCAGTAGCAAAGGTAGAACCGTCAGGAGCCAAGGCTGAAAGGCATGGGACATGACTGGCTGAAGAAAGAATGAGTGAGGTATGGCCCATCTTGAGGAGCACAGCCATCCTGTTCTTCTGCCTGCCTTTTCTCCCTCTGTCTCGCTTATCCCCCAAACAACTAGCCAAATTTAAAGTCACGCCTGCTTATGTACTGCAAGGAATGTTATGGAAAGCTCCTATATTGTTCAAATACTATACATGATGCTTTTGACTAAAATTTCAATTGGGACAAGCGTCTTTCCTTGTGTGTGTATAGCCAATGGCAGATAAAAAAGTGGCCCCATCTTTCTAGAAACACTGCAGCACTAGAATGTAGGAAAAAAGGAGGCACAGGTACATCAAGTCACAAAGGGAGTGCTCAAAATATAAACTAGAGACGATAGTCGTATAGTCAGTAACTGACATGCTACCGTGTTTCCCCGAAAATAAGACCTAGCGCATGGAAAGATAAGACATCCCCTGAAAATAAGACCTAGTGCAACTTTGGGAGAAAAAAAATAACATAAGACACTGTCTTATTTTCCGGGAGACAGGGTCTTAGGGGCCACAGTATACAAAATGCTTCCAGGCCAATCATGATTCCACAAGGGATGATGGTGATGGCTACTGCCTTTGAGCCACTCAGGATCTACTAGGGAAACGGATTGCTCACAAGGCCACTGTAAGCAATTAGGAGTAACGGGAACAAAACTACCTGTTATAAAGCTAACAGAGTTCCACTCCTGGCATGACAATGTGAAGAGCTACATGGACCCACTCCCCGAGGAAACAGGTGAGAATTATGTTACAAACAAACAAAAAGCCCCCCACCCATTTAAAATCTAAGCTCATACAGCAAATGGAGAAGCATTTATCAAAGGAGACCTACTAAAACTCAGTGAGTCTATAGCAGTGGTCGGCAAACTCATTAGTCAACGGAGCCAAATTTCAACAGATTGAAATTTCTTTGGAGAGCCAATTTTTTTTTAACTTCAACTTCTTCTAACACAACTTCTTCAACATAGACTCGCCCAGGCCGTGGTGTTTTGTGGAAGAGCCACACTCCAGGGGCCAAAGAGCCGCATGTGGGTCGCGAGCCGCAGTTTGCCGACCACTGGCCTATAGTATTTGGGCCTAGGCCCATTCCCTTTATCCTCCATCCCGGCACGGATGTCAGTCACACCAGACTGGTACATCTAAGAACACAGAGCTCCCTTTGCCCAGCTCCCAGCTGCAAGGCTTTCTTCCTGGGAGGGGCAGGACGTCGGCATTTCTCATCCTGTCCCCAGCTACCTGTTGCTGAGGCTAAGTTCCAGAAAAGTGTGGCTGAGAGGTGAGGGCTCTCTTCTAGGTGGCCCCCACTCCTGGGATGGAGGCCATGCCTTGGGTATGGTGGAATGAGGGCTCTACATAGTAGAGGGAAACCTAGGAGGCTTGTGGATGCCACTCAGAGGGAAATACATGATTGTCCCCAACCCCCTGTACTAGAGCTGTGGCTCAGAGATTTTGTCTAGAGGGGGAAGCAGGCCATAGAACAGAGAGCTCCAAATCTCCCCCGCAGTGGTACTTACTTCATTTGTAACGGAGTGTGGAAAAGTTGTTCATGTGTATAATACATTGGCTAGCACGCTGGACAGAATCAGGGAAATGCAGATCTGGAAGGAACCCTTCTGAGTTCTGAAGAAATCTCAAACACTGATCTTGGGAACTATCCCTTCAAAGGAGCCCTAATTTGAATGGACTAGTTTGTGGAGCAGTTTATGCCCCTGGGCTTTATTAAAAACAACAGAGCAATCAGCCAGCAATTAGTGACAAGGTAATAGCTGGGTGTGGTCAGGGAGAGAGACAAAAAAAAAAAAAAAAAAAGGCCCTGCCAAAAAATACTACCGCTCAGGGTAACTGTGGGCACACCAAAGGCTGTACTTTTAAGGAGCAACAAGACTCACACTGCAGGGCAAAGGGAGGAGTAAATAGACTTCAATAAAAATAATCCGATAGTCACTAAAGTAAAGAAGGGAATAATAATAAAGAGCCCAGGGAGGGGGGTGGTGCCAATATCTAGAGTTACTACATTAAACTATCTAAAAAGTCCAGTTTCCAACAAAAAATGAGATATGAAAATAGGAAAGTATGACCTATACACTAGCCAAAAAACAAGTGACAGAAAATGCTTGTGAGAACAAACACGTCAGATTTAATAGCAAAGACTTCAAATTAATCATATAAATATGTTCAGAGAACTCCAAAAAACAAACATGATTAAAGAAATAAAGGAGGAAAAAAAAGAAATAAAGGAAGGTAACTAGCTGGCGTGTCTTATTGGTGAGCGTTGACCTATGAATCAGGAGGTCATGTTCAATTCCCCATCAGGCACATGCCTGGGTTGTGGGCTCCATCCCGAGTGTGGAGCGTGCAGGAGGCAGCCGATCAATGATTCTCTCTCATCACTGATGTTTATCTCGCTCCCTCTCCCTTCCTCTCTGAAATCAATAAAAATATTTAAAAAAATTTTTATCAGTTACAGAGTTCAAAATAATGGTGGCCAAGATGCTCAACAGCTGCAATGTTGCCTCTTGTAAGCCCAGCTCCTCTGCATGACCTTCCAGGCCTAGATTATTCTGGCTCCGATCTGTCATGCCTCATCAGTTGTTGCTCTTCTGCCTCCTGCACATGCTCTGCCCCGGGTGAGTCCATGAACACACCATCTTGTTTCCCTTCCTGTTTATCTTGGCCAGCCCCTCCCCCTCCCCCATCCGGTCCTATCAATTTGTGGGATCTCCTCAATGAAGCCCCCTGGATGCCCCTCTCACGCAATCATTCACTCTTTCACTTTCTGCCCAGATCTGACCGTTAGAAAGTAACCGACTTGCACTATAAACATTCTTTACACAGTCAGTCCTGCCGCTAGACGACAAACTTCTTGAAAGCTGGGACTATGTCACATTCACCTCTTCCACCTCCAGGTCTTACTACCGTGTCCTGCACAGAATAGGCATCGGAAGAATAATAGACACCGCGGTGCACCACCTGTCTCTTGTACCCAGTAAGGTAGGACCCATCTCCCCGGGCCTACCTGTTAGAGCCAATGGCTCACAGCTGTCCCTCTCCTAAGGCTTAAGCGCTGGAGGCCTGTCAGGGAGGTTACACTCTGCCTTCTCCCTCCCAGGGACAGCCAGGACCCAATAACTGTCCTGCAGCCCTCCAAGCCAAACAGGCTAAAGCTAGCCTTTCCTAAGCTCCTTACTTTAGCTCCTTCCTCTTCCCCACCCTTTTGTCCTCACTGTCCTCACTCCCCGATGGGCTTCTCCTCAGAGCGCTCCCTCAGTGTGTCATGTTTCCGGTTCTGCTTCTAGGCACCCCTCCTTAAGCCAACATGTTAATCTTCAGAAAGTGGCACGTTTTCAAAGTAGAGAGTATTCGTTACACAAAATTATAAATAAGTACAGTGTAATCTCGGAGTAACTTCATGATGTGCCTTGATGTCTCACATTTGGATGTACAATACCATTCAGCTACTTGTTTTTCTAGTTCTGTGTTCAGGGTATAGACATCATAAAGGCATTCTTTCCTTCCTTACCTCCCAAAGTGAGTTTTGGCAGAAATGAACTGTGCATCAGACCTCGCTTTGCACGCTTGGGGACAGTAATTCGATGGCAGTTTTCAGATCTCATTCCCACTATAAACTCAATCAAAATGACAGCAGGCTGATTGACTTTAACATTGATTGTAAGCCAGGCAAACACATATGCATAAAGGAGATGCCTTCCTTGGGTGAAACTCTTTTCTCCTTTTTAAAAATACATTTTTTATTGATGTCAGAGAGGAAGGGGGGGGGGGAGAGAGAAACATCAATGATGAGAGGGAATCATCGGTTGCCTCCTGCACGCCCCCCACTGGAGATTGAGCCCGCAACCCGAGCATGTGCCCGTAACTGGAACCAAACCCTGGCCCCTTCAGCCCACAGGCCAACACTCTATCCACTGAGCCACACCGGCCAGGGCTGAAACTCTCTTTTAAAGAAGCACTGCCTGGAATCCGACCCAATGGGGTTATTTGGAATCTAAGGCTGCGCTTTGGTGGCTACTTGACTCTCCATTAATATTCCCACAGAAGAGAGGCACGCAAGGAAAAGTGATTAAGTCCAACACAGCCCTTTCTTCCCGCCCAGAAGCCCAGGAGACACACTTCCGTAATGCAGCGCCAGTGCAAGAGCCCGCGCACTGCTCTCCGCGGGGCCCTGCAGCAGCTTAAAATAACGTAAGGCTCTGCTTTAAACATATGTATGCCCTTTGACCCGGTTCTACTTCCAACATTCATCTCTGAAAATAAACCCGAAACACAGAACATAACTTAGGAACAAAAATGCCCATGGTAACTCCATAATAAAAATAACAAATGAAACCTAGCTATCGAACGAAGGAGAAATAATGGAAGCATATTAATATGGTGGTATTTCATTCAATCATTTAAGCAGGGTATCCAGGAAAACATTTACGTTAAAACGTTAAGTGGAGAAAACAGTATAAAAATTGATTTTATAATGACATTGCATCTATGAAATAAAATATACAGAAAACAGATGA